TGAGAGCGCGTGGCGTTAGAGGTGTTGCACCCTGCAGCCTTAAAAGGGGGTTTGGGGTAGGTATGTCGGCTAGGAGAAGGAGGCATGTGCAAGAATGGACCGAGGAGAGATGATGATTGCCCATGGAAGGGTGGCAGAGTTGTGGTAATGGGCTAGCAGCTGTGTTAGCGTGGCAGGGGTGGGGGGAGGTGTAGAAGCAGGCTCGGCGGTGAGGATGCTGCTAGGAATGCATGGGAGGCTACCGGCAGGAGGCGAGGGAGATGGAAAAGGGAGTGACTTTCAGTGTTAAAAAGAAGAGAGTGAGGTTGAAGAAGAACGGTAGCAGTGTTGAGCTAGCAACCATTGATAGACAATCCATTGGCTATTGTTCTTTCGCCTGAAAAAATGGAAATACGGATGCACGTTGGATAGCGATGCCCTTATAATAATTAATTAACCTGATGAGCGAGTATTAGTAGCACAGTACTCCTTCCCGTACTAAAAAATAAACGAGTTTTGGACGGTGCGTCTGTTGTTTACAAATGAAGTCGTTTTGCATGCATTAGCTGTGTTTTAGACAAGACTACCCCGGATCGTTTTGTATCCCGTCACCCACTCCCGAGGATAACATTTAAAGGCACCTCCACACCAACGCGAGCACCAAGGTAAAAAATTGGTGAGCGCAAAGGAAAAAAAGATTGCACCAACACAAAGTGCCATGCAAAGATCCGCACCAACTGACACCATGTTCGCTTGATCATATCAGCCATGCTTATCAGCTATGATACAATATTTTTTCTCTCACAACAAAACAACATCAGCCGGTTTAGCGAACATGGTGTGAAAAGAAATCTCGAGCGCAAAGGGGAAAAAAAACTTGTGCCAACGTTAAAAAAAATTGTAACAGTGCACAGTGTTGAGCGCGCGGGGTCGAAACTTGCACCTCTTACCTCGGGCCTCACCACGTTAACCAGTCTAGTTGAGATACTGCAATCCAATTTAATATGGATAAAAAGTAGAAAAAATCACTCTAATTAATCATCCCTTGATATTGCTAAATTCTGTCTAAAATGATTTTATTTATTTTTAGTACGAGGAGAGTACCAGTTTGTTGGGACGAAGGCACGTGTCACTAGGTACGTAGCATCCTACTCTGTTTCCTATACCTACTGTCTAGTCTTGGGCTTGGGGCGTCCGTTGGGCCAAGATACTCGTAGATCTATGGCTAATCATGAGCATTTACGCCTGGCGGCTGGACGTCGAGGCCTTGTTTAGATTGTAAATTTTTATAATCTGGATACTGTAGCATGTTTTGTTTGTATTTGACAAATTTTGTCCGATTATGGACTAACTAGGCTCAAAAAATTCGTCTTATGATTTACAACCAAACTATGCAATTAGTTATTTTTTTTACCTACATTTAATACTCCATGCATGCGTTCAAAAATTAATGTGATGGAGAGAGAATAAAAAAACTTAAAATTTGGAGGTGATCTAAACAAGGTCCAATTTCGTCTCGTCCTGAGTGGTACCGCGCAGCCCTACGACTCCGCAGCTACAGGTCAATTACGCCGTGTTTAGTTGACCCTAAAGTTCAAAAAGTTGCTACAGTACCTGACACATCGAATATTTACGGCCCGTGCATGGAGCATTAAATGTAGACGAAAATAAAAACTAATTGCACAGTTTGGTGGGAAATTGCGAGACGAATGTTTTAAGCCTAATTAGTCCATGTTTGAATACTATTTGCTAAATAAAAACGAACGTGCTACAGTAGCCCTAAAATCCAAATTCACCCGACTAAACAAGGCTTAGTTAATGCGCGCCACGACACTTCCATCGACGCGCGCGCGGAGGTGGAGGTGGATCCGGAGCGCCGTACGTGGCCAGTGATGCCGACCTGCACCTAGCAAACAGACGGGCGCCGCTACGTGGCCAGTGATGCCGACCTGCACCTAGCAAACAGACGGGCGCCGCCGCCACCGTACCCTCCGCCGCCGATGTCAGGTCAGGTCAGGTCCGGTCCCCGCCGCGCTCGCGCCCGCGCCCATGCTGCCCTCCCGCGCCATGCACGTGGCGGCCGTCGCGCGCCTCCTCTGATCCGCGGGGCAAAAGTGACGGCCACCTCGCTAGCTCCTCGATCCGTCCCACGCTTCCACTCTCCACGGCCACGCGCCCGGCCGACAGCAAATGACCCTGTCGCTCCTCGCTCGTGCGCGGTGCGCCGCCGCACGGAACGAACAGCACCACCGCCGTGCATGTACGTATAGTGGATGTCCGATCGCGATCCTCTTCGCGCGAGTTGGTCGGCCTCAAACGCCGGGCACGGTACGTCGTACCGGCCGGTCGGTAGTGCACGCACGTCTTTGCCAGGCGAGTGTCCGTCAGTACGGTGGTGCTCGGATGTTCCGGTGTGAGAGAGGAGAAGCTGCTGCCGCCTGCCAGTGCCAGCGCGGCTCCGGACGTTCGGATATGGGCTCATGAGCTGAGAACGATTACGAATGCAGAGCTAGTGCTACGGATACGGACAAAGCGTGCGGGACCGGGATAATGGGGCGCCTTTCCTTTCCTTCCCTTTCCTTTGTGCCACATACGACGGCAACTCGTGACGGCTACACATAAGCCTACGACAGTACGTACCACTGTTAGCAGGAGGCAGGGAAGGGAAGAATTGGGAGCATGAATCAGACGAACAGCATAGCAATAGGCGAAGAAGGGGATCGAGGCAGGAAGAGTGCTTAGCGAGTTTAGGGATTTGGTTTACAAGTTTCTCGATGAATCCTCTCTTCTCACTCTGTGACTCATATACTCGTTACACGGGCACTCGCCCAGTTACGTGCTCGCAGGCACCTTCACGCCCATTCTTTTCCAGCTAGACGCACATTGGGCTTCTTGACGCGAGAGCTGGTCCGCAGCCCATGGGCTTCAGTGCTTGGAGGACTCATAGATGGGCTGCTTCCCCAAGCAGGAGCGCGCGGGAAGGACTGGCAAAGGTGGAGCAGGTTTTCCCAGGTTGCCATGTCAGCTGACCACCCGACCAACGGACGAGTCCTTGCTCCATAGAACCAGTAGCAGTGGGAAGCACACGAGTCTGCAATTTCTCCAGAGGAACTTGAGGAAGTTCAGTATCAGTTGGCAGAGAGGGGGAAACCGGGTACCCTGGAAGTACAACTGCTTTGAGTTGAGAAACGTGAAAAACCGGATGAATGGATGTCGTCGAGGGCAGCTCTAACTTGTAGGCAACAGAACCAACGCGAGCAATGATCTGGAAGGGTCCATAAAACTTGAAGGAGAGTTTACGGTTGGCGCGAGGGGCAAAGTCATTGCACATAAGGTTGGATCTTCAAGAACACCATGCCCCACTTTGAATTGCCGTTCGAACGATTCTTGTCGGCCTATCGCTTCATACGATCTGTAGCGCGAGCAAGATGTTGGAGGATCAAGTCAGTCACCACCTGACGATCCTGAAGCCAGGTTGAGAAGTCGAGCACCATGACATCATCCAAAACAGAAATCCCAAAATGGCGAGGAGGATACCCATATAAAGCTTCAAAGGGCGAGTAGCCAGTAGCAGAGAGGGGAGAGGCGTTATACCAGAATTCCGCCAAGGCGATCAATGAAGACCATTTGGAGGGGCAGGCATTCACAAAGCAGCGAAGGAATGTCTCCATAGATTGGTTGAGATGTTCAGTTTGACCATCGAATTGAGGGTGGTAGCTAGAACTCATCTGGAGCGAAACATCAGCTAGACGGAACGGTTCTTTCCAGAGTGGCTCGTGAAGACGCGGTCATGGTCCGAGATGATTGCCGAAGGTAAGCCATGTAAGCGGTAGATGATATCGAGGAATACCTTGGCGACACCAGCTGCTGTGAACGGATGTAGCAATGGCAGGAAGTGAAGGAATCAACGACCACAAGGATGCAGTTAGCATTGCCTGAACGGGGCAACCCCTCCATGAAATCCAGCGAGATAGGCCACATGCAGTACGACTTATCGGGAAAGCGCTTTCTAGATAAATTTGCACAAATAGAGTAAAAGCGGCGGTCAAAATAAGTTGGATGCGATCCAGAGTCACAAAGTGTCCTATGTGGTTTGGGAAAATTATTTTCCAGCATATGGTAGAACAATTGTCAAATAAAAACGAGAGAAAATAAGCATTACTATATTGCTACTCCTCAAGCGCCAACTATCACTGTACATTCGTTTGGCTTGTGCTTGTAAATATCGATTGTAAATTTTCAATCGAAATGTATTTCTCTCACACACAAACCAAGCCAAAGAATACTTCTTCACTTAACCAAAGAACGATACAAACCAAATAAACCGAAGCAGGTTGTATTTTAGTTGGGGAAAAATTAGGACAAGATAAGCATTTTAGTAGTTGGTACTCCCCAAATGCAAGTAGAGCAGCTTCTACTCTACTATATATTTATGTGATAAGTATACTACTACCTATTTATAAGAGTCTTTGTAAATTACCAAAAAAGGAAAGCCAAGTAGAGGAACCGAGGAAGAGAGGAAACACAAGAGGAGGCGCGGTGGGCCCGGGCGGCCACTCCCCATGGGGCCCACCTCAAGGTTGTGTGCTGCTCCAGCTACGGCTACGCGTAGAAGGCCGCCGCACTGCACGGGTGCGCAGGCCGACGTAGCAATCCGACGGCACGATCCCCACTCAGCTAGGCACTACGGCGTCGGCTCGTTTCCCCGCGCTCTGTCTCTGCCCGCCCCGGCCTCTCCTCTCCCGCCTCTCTGTTCCAATTCCAAGCCACCCTCGTCAGTTTTCTCCTGCTGCTCCGGCTCAGTTCCTCCTCGACCTCGGTTGCACTCCATAATTACCTGCCACTCACTGCAGTACTCCACTACCCCCACTCCGTCCGGAGGAGGAGCTGAACCGCCCGCCGGCCCGCCGCCAGATTCCCACCTATATATACACGAGTGACAGACAGAGAGAGCACTTGGCTAGCGAGCTCGTCACGTGGCAGTTCAGAGCACAGGTAGAAGCGATTGCGCGCCCGTTTGAATGGTGGTGGTGGTGGCGGCAGTGGTGGAGCACGGCGGCGGGCCGGTGACGGTGCGCGAGTTCGACGGCACCAGCGACCGCGACCGCGCCGCCGTCGAGCGCCTCGAGGGCGCCTGCGAGGTCGGCCCCAGCGCCGGCAAGCTCTGCCTCTTCACCGACCTCCTCGGAGACCCGCTCTGCCGCGTCCGCCACTCCCCGGCCTTCCTCATGCTCGTACGTCCCACCCGCCGCCGCTGCTCGCTCAGTCAGCCATCGCTAGCTCCTCCATCCATCCATCGCTCAAGTGCGAATGCCTGCCTTGCGTGCCACAGGTCGCGGAGGCAGGTGCGGGCGGGGAGGTCGTCGGCGTGGTGCGCGGCTGCGTCAAGACCGTGGCGTGCGGGCGCGGGCAGGACGACCTCTTCTCCAAGGTGGCCTACCTGCTGGGCCTCCGCGTCTCCCCGGCGCACCGGCGCCGCGGCATCGGCCGGGCCCTGGTGGCGCGGATGGAGGAGTGGTTCCGGCAGGCGGGCGCCGAGTACGCCTACGTCGCCACCGACCGCGACAACGAGCCGTCGGTGCGCCTCTTCACCTCACGCTGCGGCTACGCCAAGTTCCGCACCCCGTCCGTGCTCGTGCACCCGGTGTTCCGCCACGACCTCGCCCCGCCGCGCCGGGTCGCCGTCCTCCGCATCCCGACGCGTGACGCCGAGCTCCTCTACCGCGCGCGGTTCGCGGGCGTCGAGTTCTTCCCGCGCGACATCGACGCCGTGCTGTCCAACCCGCTCTCCCTCGGCACGTTCCTCGCCGTCCCGGCGTCGTCCAAACCGTGGCGCGGCGCCGAGGCGTTCCTGGCGTCGCCGCCGCCGTCGTGGGCGGTGGGCAGCGTGTGGAACAGCAAGGACGCGTTCCGCCTCGAGGTCCGGGGCGCGCCACGGCTGTGGCGCGCCGCGGCGCGCGCCACGCGCGCCGCCGACCGCGCACTCTCGCGCTGGCTCCTCCTCCGCGTCCCGTCCGTGCCCAACCTCTTCGAGCCCTTCGGCATGCACTTCCTCTACGGCCTCGGCGGTGCCGGCGCGGACGCGCCGCGGATGGCCACCGCGCTCTGCCGCCACGCGCACAACGTGGCGCGACGCGCGGGCGCGCGCGTCGTCGCCACCGAGGTCGCCGCCTGCGATCCGCTCCGTGGCGCCGTGCCGCACTGGCCGCGACTCGGCGCCGAGGACCTCTGGTGCATCAAGCGCCTGGCCGAAGGGTACGGCGACGGCGCGCTCGGCGACTGGACCAAGGCGCCGCCCGGCGCCTCCATCTTCGTGGACCCGAGGGAGTTTTAGCCGTTTCTTCGTCTGCCAGTTAGTTTCCGCCGTCGATCTGGCATCCGACGGCCGAGATGAGCGTTTCGGCATGGCTTTGTTTTTTGGAGGAGGAGGAGGCTGAGGAGCTGTCCATGGTTGCATCTTCTTCTTTTTTCATTTTCTCAGGAGGGGAGTAATGATGTAGAGAAAAAAGAGTGGTTTTTAGCTTAGATTAAGCATGATTAGTGGGAAGGAAATGCCTTTTTGTTTTGCTTCATTTGTGTCCTGCCTCTACTACCTCGGCTTTGCTTCATTTTTGTTTTGCTCTTGGCACTATTCTTCGTGGTCTACTCGAGGTGCAACATGTACATTTGGTTTCAAGTCTCGACTTGGCACTATTTTTCTCAAGACCAATTGACAGTAGTGGCGAACGCAGGGGGATAGACCTTAGGTGAGGCTCATCTCCCTTCTTTGTCCTTCAAACCCCTCATCTTCCTCCTGTCTATTTCCCTCTGTTAACTCTATGAAGCCTTGAGCCCCGACTCTAGATCTTCCTCTGGGGAGGCCCTACCCCGGCCTGTCCGTGTATTTTCATAGAAAGGAACTGTTAGAGGAGCAACAACTATTTGGTTAAGGATGTTGTTGTTACTCTAGATTCAATATATTTGTGAACCTAGTTTATCTTATCCTACAACAACCTCCAAATGACCAAATCCTGCTAGCTAGCTATGATGAAAAGACCCCTAATCAAAGTACAACCTCAAATCAAAGATGGTAAAGCTAGAACACCGCCGGACGTCCAGTTGGGTTGTCTGTCATCAGTTTCCTCTGCCGGCGCCGTCCAAATCTTGCAGTCCAGCTAGCTGTGTTACATGTAACTGTGGCGAGCTAGCGAGCTATGCGGAAGTAACCGGCCGAGGTTGTGTGTGCTCTGCAGCTGCTCTGCTCTGCTGGATGGAGTAAGGGTAGTTGTTATGCACCTGCTGCACAGCAACAACGCAATCATGGAATCTGAACCTGAAATAGACCCTTGACCATTCGCCATCAGGGCTGTGCTGATCATTATTCCATCCATCGGTTCTAATTTGCTGTTACAGGTGGTGGTGTCATTGCACAGCGCCACTACTGTTCGCGGCTCACAGTAACGTTTTACATCAATGGAGAAGCTTCAACATACAGTGGTACGTGGTACGTACGTACTTCATTGCTCCGCCTAAAAGTATCTGTCCACACAGCTTCTCGTCGTTTTTTAAGATTGAGCAAGTATATACAAAAATGTAGTAACTTTTATGATACGTGATAACTACCGCCATTAAATTAATTGTAAAATACATTTTCATAATAAACTTATTTTAAAATACAAATATTGATACTATCTTTTATAAACCTAGTCGCACTTTAAAAGTTATGACATATCGAGAGCGAGATGTGCATTCTTTTGAGGACGGATTGAATACCGAGAAGCTAAGGGTCAATTTGGTAAAGCTTCGTTTTCTAGTTCTTAAGCTTCACTTCTCGATTCTTCAACAGTGTGATTCTAGTGTGGGAGCACATGAGAATTCATTCTAAAGTGATTCTAGCGGTGATCGAATGAAAAGTAGCGGGGAGTTGTGGGGAGCGGGGGTTTTTCGCTCACAACACTAATTGCTGTCCTTGTCATCTGTCCTGAGGTGTGTTTTTGAGTGTTCTTTATTTTTTGTGTGTGTCTGTCGTCCTTGGTCCAGCTCCACGGTCCATTTCAACATCTCGATCAGGATTCATGAGCGGCAGTGGTGCAAAAACGACGAGAAGCTGTGTGGACTGCCACTCGACGACATGATCATGATTGGATGGGCAATGACAACCGAAAAGACGCGCACGACTGATTACGACACCTTAAGGAGACATTAATAATGCGTACAAGTACAATAATAGTTGTCCTCATTTTATCGCGGCCGTAGATTGAGCCACCTCTAAAAAATCAGCGCGCCAGGACAAGCTCCATGTACATAGTATAGATACGGTATTGGATTTTGAGAGCGACGACGCTGAAGACGACGCTTGAGAGAAGCTTTATTTAGTGCTTGTGGTTGTGACAACGATACGGTTATTGTTATCCGTAGTGTCGCCCTCATGTCATGGGTGGGTCCATCGGCGGCGCAATGCGACTCAATTAGTATCGACACAAGAGTAACTCTTTTTTATTTATATATAATTCTAGCAAACATATATGTGCGTTGCAACAGAACCGAATACATATGGGAGCCTCAGGTCATGAGTCCAGATCATATATGACATATATTGGGCGCAACTTAATACATATTGGAATTAGACTCCGTATTTATCATCACTAGACGCGAGTTGTTCTAACTCTCCACTGTCCTAGTAGTTAGAGGGAGGTGGACGAAAAAAATAGGTGAAGAGAAATTTCACCTTTAATATTAGATATAGATAATGCTGCACGGTTGACCTGCTCGGAACTAGAGAAACAAGGAGAAATCTAGTTCAACAACCCCATAGCATGACATACATTGTTTTATCTTATTATTGTTGACGATCACATAAGTATATGCACCTCTTTTGATTGTTATTCCCTTTGACAATCATGGTGCATGCAACAGCAATCTGCATCCATGGTGCTCATGCATGTCTAGTTGTGTACTAAAACCTATGTACATAGAAAAGCTATAATGAGTTATAATTTAGAATGGAGCGAGTATCTTAACACTTTTAGGTGTTACACGTAAGTATTATATATCTATATGTATAGTATAAGCTATGTGTGTGAAAAAAAATTAAAATTAAAATAAATCAAAATTTGAAACCGACAGAAAGGGGAGTGGCATTTATATTTTTCCCCTTTTAAAAATGGGGCATATCAATCCATCCATCCATCCATCCACCTGAAACGGTAGCTGTCTGGCAAAGAACGAAAGTTGTTTGGAGTGAGTGCGAGTCCATGCCGACACTCTGTCGCTGACATGAGGCTGGCAGACAAACCAAGCCGGTTCGCGGGTTTGTTTTAGCTAGAGCTTATCAGTTGATTAATAGTATTTTTTTCACATAATAAACCAGTATTAATTAGGCTTATTAGTCTAGAAACCAACCAGCGAATAGGCCGCAAACTCAATCATCGCTCCCCCTTCTGTCGACACTCTGTCCCTGACATGAGGCTGGCAGACAAACCAAGCCGTTCCAAACCAAACCCAGGCCGTGTTTAGTTGGCCGAATCGGCGCCGACTGATTCACTGTAGCCACACTGTAGCTACAGTACCGTTTTGTTTTTATTTGGTAATAACTGTTCAATCGTTGACTAATTAGACTCAAAACATTCGTCTCACAAAGTACAACTAAACTGTGCAATTAGTTTTTGATTTCGTCAACATTTAGTACTCCATGCATGTACCGCAAATTTGATATGACGGGGAATCTTCTTTTTGTATAGTGTCAAAATTGGGAATTTGGTGGAACTAAACATGGCCCCAATCATCGTGTCCTGTAGAATGTTGTCGACAGGCTACTGATTTCGTTGGAGCACCGTAACTTCTTTTTTCTGGTTTGCGCTGAACATGGTCTCGTTTAAATTCAGGGTGTAAAGTTTTGGGATATCACATCGGGTGTCATATGAGGTGTTCGGATACTAATAAAAAATAAATTATAGAATCCGTCAGTAATCTGCGAGACAAATTTATTAAGCCTAATTAATCCATCATTAGCACATGTATTACTGTAGCGCAACATTGTCAAATCATGGACTAATTAGGTTTAAAAAATCATCTTGCAAATTAGTCATAAACTATGTAATTAGTTATTTTTAGTCTATATTTAATACTTCATACATGCGCCAAACAATCCATGGGACATAGAGTAAGCTTTAGGGGGACAACTAAACAAGGCCACGGTGGACACGAGCAGTGATCCGTTAAGCGACTGTTTGCTCTGCTCCGGTCCTGTCTAAAGATGGCAACGGGGCGGGTTCGGATCGGGTGGAGTGTCTGGGCACCCAAAACCGAAACCGAATCCGCCCGAAAATCGTTTTGGGTGAAAATCCATCCCAAAATCGAAACTCGCGGATCCTCAAACCCGAGCAGGATTAACGAAACCCGAGGATATTGCAATTAAAGATGTGCGAGAACATGCAAGTAGCGGTTATGATACACGACATGTACAACATACATACATAAGAGAAGATAGTCAAGGCGTCCGACCATTTACAAAACACACCTTTGTCCAGATATTACGGTCCAAACAAAAGTATTACGGTCCAAAGTGGCAAAGTCCAAACAAAAGATATTACAAACAGATTGAGATGCAGCAGCAGCGAGCTTAAGATCCACTTGAAGCACCAGGAGCCAACATTGCTCCTTCACGACAAATACAAAAAGGAAAGCAAATGATTGACCTTATCGGTGATCTATACTAATGAAGCATGAGAGGACCACAAGCACATCAGAATCGATCGAAACTTGCACGAAGAACAGGGCAAGCAGCAGAAATATGGAATGAAGGTGCATTCAACATTTTAGGTTGTTACCACCAATTACAAGTAGAGATTATGTTCGTGTCCTAGCTACCACAAATCTAAGTTAGCAAGAAAATAGAATGATTACTAACAGATTTGAATGAACTCCAAAATGCACATACAACAATCGTAATCATTTAAGCTATAACTACTGAACCTATCATTCAAAGCAAACACAGCTGACAAGCAACTAATAACTCCGATTGAGCGGTGAATCTATCAATCAGAATCAACACCAAATCAAGTGGACCAAAATCACAAAGGAAAAGAAGCTGCTCATATATCAATGAGCAGAGCGGTGAAACTATCGAATATCACTATTATACCTATTATTGGCCGAGGCATGCTGCATGCATACAATACAATAGAAAGGAAAAATGGCGATCTGGTCCGCCCAGGTCGTCAAATGATCATCGTGAGCCAAGACAAAGAAACCTAGTAACCTTCAGAAAGTCATCTCTAGTCCACGCCACCTGCTGCGTACGAGAAAACCAGACTCCAGACAGTCTCATAAATTCGCTTGGGCAATAAAGAATAT